GGCCCCGGTGTTGGCGAGAAGGTAGCTAGGAGTTGAGGGTCTTCAAAAGGCAGGAGGATGGGTCGAGGCAGAAGAATGAGGACGGAGAGGAACGGGGCGTAGAAGGTTCCTCAGTGGGGTCCGTGTGAGGTTAGGGCAGAGCAAAGAGATCCGGACAGGGAGAAGCAGTGAGTGTACCGGAGAGTGCGAAAGCGAGGAGCCGGGGTTTGTTGACGTGGGCCTACATGGAAAGACCTGGGAGGCAGCGTAGAAACAAGTGGTAGAGAAGAAACTTAGGGTGGAGTGAGAAGTGCTGTCAACAGAACTGTGAAGTATAGGGAATTTGGGAAGAAAGGCTGGAAAGGAAGAGATTGCCTAATAGCTCTTTTAAAAAGGGCATGGTGGTGCACGCCTGTTATACCAGCACTTGGGAGTCTCAGGCGGGAGGATTACCAGGAGTTTAAAGCCAGCATAGACTACACAGTGAGACCCTGTCTCAAAAACAAAATAAAAATACAGCCTAGGAAGCCCAGGGACAGGCATTCCTATGGAAGCTACATACAGACTTGGGAACAGCCCTCCATGTACCTCTTCACAGATCCCTCCTGGCTAGTTGGTTGATTTGTTCCTCTTCCCCTCCCTGTATTGGGTATGGAACCTAGGGCCTTAGCACTGAGCTATATCCCTAACCCTTTTTAAATTATTTTTTTGAGTCAATGACTTGCTAAATTGCTCAGGCAGTTTGTGATCCTCTTGCCTTAGCCTCCCCGAGTGCGTGGATTACAGGCCTGCACCACCTTACCAGGTTCCTTGAACTCCTGAGTACTGGGTTCACAGGTGTGTACCATCATGCCTGGCTTGTTTTCTTACTCCTTGACTACTAGAGTTGTAGATTGTTACTTTTTATTTGTTTGTTTGTCTTTTGTGATAGGATCTCCCTATGTAGTTCATGCTGGCCTCAAACTTGCAGTGATCCTCCTCTACCTCAACTTCCCAGGTGCTGGGATTACAGGCATGTGCCACCACACCGGCCTTGATTCTCACTTTTAAAATTTTCTTTGGATTTCAGTATGTTGTTTTGTTTGGTTAAATCATAACTAGTCCTGTCTTGGGGATAGTAGAATGTTTAATGAAATGTAGACCTTTAGACATGAGAGATGTTTCAGAAATAAGGTACCCTTCCAAGGTCAATAATTTACCAATCTAGCTAGGCATGGTGGTCCATACCTATAAACCCCAACATTGGGAGGAAAGGAGGGGTCAAGGCAGGAGGAACAACCTTGAGTTTGAGACCTGCCTGGGCTACATAGTGAATTCAAGGCCAGCCTGAGATCCTGTCTCAAAAAAAAAAAAAATTAACCACTTCCACTTCCATGAATATTTGATACATTATCAAACACTGCTGGTTAAGCTTTGCACTTTTTCTTTCTTTCTTTTTTTTTTCTTTTTTCTTTTTTGAGACAAGGTCTCCCCATGTAGTGCAGGCTGGCCTTGAACTCATTATGTATCCCAGGCTGGCTTTGAACTCATGGAAGTCCTTCTGCCTCAGCCTCCCAAGTGCTGGGATTACAGGTGCAAGCTACCACATCTAGCAGGCTTTATACAGTTTTGACTAAGTCCCTTCTCTTATAGGTGAAATTGTTTATTGTTGTGACTCTTACCTGCTCATTTGTCCAGTAATTCCCATTTTTCCTCTTTCTTCCCAGTACAAGCACTCAGAACATCCATAATAATCATGGTGTGTTCCTGCTGGGCGTGGTGGCACATGCCTGTAATCCCAGCACTCGGGAGGCTGAGGCAGGAGGATTGCTGTGAGTTCGAGACCAGCCTGGGCTACATAGTGAGTTCCAGGTCAGTCTTAAGTACATAGTGACACCCTGTCTCAAAAACAACAAAAACAAAATCATGGTGTGTTCCTGCCTGCTCATCTGTCAGCTCTAGGCTTTCCATTCCCATGTCAGCCAAGATGACCTTTGAGGCCCGGCTGTCTCCCCTGTCTGACATTGGCTAACTTTTTTGGGGTTAAAGGTAAATGTTAATATCCTTAGGAAGCCTGAAAAGCAAGTGTCTGACTCTCTCAAATATTTCCCACTTCAGATAACTTAAATCTGAGAATAAGACCAGATAAAAGGCCAAATAAGACAATCTTTGAAAGCACAATCTTGTTTGGTAGACATGCTTGCAATTCCTTCCTAGTAATCGCTTACCTCCTCACTGGCCTGCCAGTAGCTCAGTGAATCTGGCTTGGTGTGGGGGCTTCAGCTTTTGTATAACAGGCCATTGCCAGAATCCACACACTCCCCTGAGTCATGTGAACAGTCAGACACGTAGCTCCTGTGATCAAAATAGTCTTAAAAGAAGAAAATAGCCTTATTCCTACAAAGTGAGAGAAGTTTCACTGAACCTCTGGGTGGGCCTCAAGAGGCAGAAGAGCTGCTCTCCTTTTGGCAGTTTCAAAATTTTATCTTGCCCTAGTCCAGTAGTGGCAAACCTGTGGCACACATGCTGCAGTGGACCCACAGAGCCCTCTCTGTCAGCACGAGAGCCAAGTCACCCCAGCAGCCAAGCATCAGATAACAGTCGTCTTTTCTAAACTAAAACCTAAGTATTCAGTTTAATTGCAGTGTTTGCACTTTGCAATAAATAAGAAGGTTTTGGGTTGCAGTTTAGTCACTTGTCTCTAAAAGATTCGCCATCACTGCCCTAGTCCATAGAAATGGATGGTTTGGGCACAAGAAAGAATGTTTTTGTTATCCACTGAGTGCAGTTAGCTCTATTGCAACTTGTATCAGTCCTTTCCCTCTTGGTAGGTTAAGGGTAAGGCATATCTCCCTACTGCTCAGAAGTAAGTCCTAGCCAAGTGTGATAGTGCGTACCTGGAATCCCAACACTCTTAAGAGGCTGAGACAGGAAGAGTGCAAGTTCAGCCCAGCTTGGGCAACTTACCAAGACGCTGTCTCAAAAATTTTTTAAAAGGGCTGGGCATGTCGCTCAGTGCAAAGGCAGTAGATTCAATCCCTACTACCACAAAAGAAAGAATAAAGTCCTGACTTTTTTCTAGTGAGCATACAAATGAAAGTTTGTTCTTTATTTCTTCTTAGTTTTAAATCTGCAGCTCTTACTTCCCAACATGGGAAAAAAATTGATCCCACCTTCTACCACTCCCACATACATCTACAGAGAAATTCTTTCTCTCAAATTGGTGCCCCGTTTTGTCTGTCTTTCTCCCCACACCGGCTTCCTCACTTTCTCCCTCTCTGTCTCTATATGCACATGCTTGCATGCACATACTCTGCTGTGCAGTAAGAATAAGACTGTGAGAGCCTGTGGGTGTGGAAATGCTACAGGCAGAGAGACTCTCTTATGTAGCCCAGGCTGGCCCCAGACTCTCAGTGATCCTCCTACCTTAGCCTCCCCAGTGCTGGGATTACAGATATGTACCCATGCCTGGCCAGCCATAACTTGTAAAGAGAGACCCGGGAGGCTAGGGGTGTAGCTCAGTGATAGAGCACTTGCCTAGCATGTGTATGGCCTTTGGTTTAATTCCCTGCATCGCACGAAAAGTGGAAAAAAGTAACTGAAAAGAGACATGAGAGCAAGAAGATTATTCTCCTATCTGCTGTATAAGACTGTGTTTCCACTTGACAGGTTTAAGTCACCAAGATGCAGACAAAAAAACGTCACCTCATAACACAAGAAAGAAGGCAAGCAGGGTGGCCCACACCTTCCAGCTAGAGCAAGATTAAATGTTGTGCTCCAGTAGAGAGAAACTTCTGTTGGTAACCTTGGTTCTACTAATGCTACTTCACTAAGAGAATAGATTTTAAGTTCTCACCACAAAAAAATAAGTATCTGAGACAATCCATGTTAATTAGCTAGATCTAGCCATTCCATAGTGTATATATATTTTCAAAACATCACGTTGTACATAATAAATGTATATAATTTTTGACTGTTAGAAAAAGTAAATAGACTTGGTAGGCTGAAGCAGGAGGATCATCACAAGTTTGAGGCCAGCCAGAGCTACATAGTGAGACCTTGTCTCAAAAAAAAAAAAAAAAAGTAGAAAAGAAAAAGTAAACAGAATCTACTTCAAAATTCTTAAGGGCCAGGGATTTAGCTCAGTGGTGTCACTGCCTGCCTTGCAAGCACTGCCTGCCTCGATCCCTGGTACCAAAAAATCTTAAAAAGATAGTGGCCTAGGGCTGAGGCTTTAGCTCAGTGGTTCTGCCCTGCCTCGCAAGTGCAAGGACCCCAGTTCAATCCCCAGTACCAAAATAAAAAAAAAAAAAAAGATAGTGGTCTGGTGTGATGGCGCAAACCTGTAATCCCAGCAGTCAGGAGGCTGAGGCAGGAGGATCACAGCCAGTTTGAGGCCAGACTGGGCTGCATAGTAAGTTCAAAGCTAGCCTAAACTACATAGCAAGACTCTGTCTAAGCACCCTCAAAATAATAATAAAATAATAAAAAAGAACTGGGGATAGCTTAGTAGTAGAGTGCTTGCCTAGCATGCATGATGGTTTGGGTTTGGTCCCTTTTGCAAAAAACAAACAAACAAAAAATAGAAAGAGGCTTATCAAAATGGTTTATCAAAGGGCCGGGTGTTTGGCTCAGTGGTTCTGCTGCCTGCCTCGCAAGGACCAAAGTTCGATCCCTGGTACCAAAAAAAAACAAAGCAAGTTTATCAGAGCAAGACTCTTTGTTAGCAGAGGAACCTGAAAATACTTTCTGACTCAAACAACAGTACACTCTTTTTTGTTTGTTTGGTTTTTTTTTTTTTTTTTTTTTTGAGACAGGGTCTTACTATGCAGTTGAGACTGACCTGGAACTCACTATGTAACCCAGGCTGATCTTGAACTCACAGCAATCCTCTTGCCTCAGCCTACCGAGTGCTGGTATTACAGGCTGCGCCACCACGCCTGGCTAACAGTACACTATTCTGATCAACATGCATAGGGACTCTGGCCAAAATGGCCACTACAGACAGTCATTCCCATGTCTCCTGCATGTTTGCCACTCTACCCCAAACAGAATAGTTACTGAGACTTTCGTGTGTTTTATATAGAACTAACCCTATTTGGGGCCTCTTTAGTTTCAAAATGGGTTACTATAAAACTTAAATTGTAGCTAGGCATTGATGGTAGCACCTATAATCCCTGTACTCTGAGAGGCCAGAGCAGGGGAATTGCCCAGTGTGTGCAATTTATTGGCTTAGTAAGACCCTGTTTTCAAATAAAAAATAAATTTAAACTTGGTGTGCTGTGGCACACCTGTAATCCTAGCATTTGAGAGGCTGAGGCAGGAGTATTATGATTTTGAAGCCAATCTGAACTATATAGCAAGACTTTGTCTCAAAGAACAACAGCAGGGCCAGGGATTTAGCTCAGTAGCACCACACCTGCCTCACAAGCACAAGGTCCTGAGTTCAAGCCCTAGTAACCCCCCCCAAAAAAGCTAATAATAATAATAATTTTTTTTTTGGTACTGGGGATCAAACGGGTCCTTGTGCTTGCGAATAATACAATTTTAAAATTAAAAACAACTTTTTAAGCCAGGCATGGTGGCGCACACCTGTAATCCTAGAACTCAGGAGGCTGAGAGAGGAGGATCACTGTGAGTTTCAGACCAGCCTGGGCTACATAGTGAGACCCTGTCTCAAAAAAAAAAAAATAAAAAAAAAAAAACTTTTTAAAAGGGTATAACTCAGTGCAAAGGCCTTGGATTCAAACACCATCACCAGCATCCTGCAGATGAACAAATAAATAAATCTCAAATTGAACTCCACTTCACTTTCCCTCCTCCTGCCCAAATATTCAGTGAACATCAGTGACCTCCCAGGGCCTTTGCACCAACACAGGACTTGTCTGATCAAAGATATGCAGAAGGCCCAGAAAAGTATCTCCTATGTGCATCCCACCTAGTGATGTAAAGTGTTAGTCTGGCCCCTTTTTCTTAGCTTTTGAAATTAGACAGGAAGGGGTAGCACTGTTTCTTCTCCCACCCACAAACCTCGACCTTCTCTCTCTTCCACAGTCTTCATGACAGGGAGGCGCAAAGAGCAAGAAAAAGATGCATCTATCTGAGCTCTAGAAGGAGACATGAGGTGAAATTTTTCCCCTGCCCAGGTTTTGTTTCCAGATCTAACTCCTTCATTTTATTTTATTTTATTTTATTATTTTTACAATACCAAAAACTGAACCTAGGGAGTGCTGAGCCATTTTCCAGCCCCTTTTTATTTTGGGATGGGGTCTCAATAAATTGCCCAGACTGGCCTAAAACTTATGATCCTCCTGCCTCAGCCTCTCAGGTGGCTAGAAATGCACCATTAGGCCCAGCTTATCCCTTCTCCTTTTAGATATTGACTGTTCCTACTGTAGGATGACCTGGAATTCATCTCCTCTGTACTTCTTCCCAAGTACTTGGTAATGAAGTGGAGCTGACTTCATCTGTATTATATGCAGAAGGTCGCCATCTATAGCCTGGTAAAAATCTGAGTCAGACCTTTGTTCTATGAAGACAGGCACAGGAGATGAGTGAAAGTTAGTGGGTTTCCTTCAGAAGCCTGGTTTGACCTACAGGTGTTTTTTTTTTTTTTTTTTTTTTTTGGTACCGGGGATCGAACTTGGTTCCTTGTGCTTGCAAGGCAGGAGGTAGAGCCACTGAGCTAAATCCCAGGCTCTACAGATCATTTTAGAACTGCAAAATGCCTGATGCCTAGGTCTGTTTCCTAAAAGTGGATGTAGAGTCCATTTGCAGACAATCTCTAATTCTACATCTTTCCTGACACCTTTCTCCCTTCTGCCTCCCCAGTTCTGGAAAGCCCTGACAGAGAGCTTTCTATGTGACTGCAACACATTTCTGCCCTGAATCTGGTTTTGTTGTTGTTGTTTGTTTTTGGTACCAGGGATCAAACTCAGGTCCTTGCTCTTGTGAGGCAGGCAGTGGAACCACTGAGCTAAATCCCTGGCCCTCTGCCCTGATCCTGTCTGGCTCAGGAAAGCATATACAGGAGATGATGCTGTGGGCTTGGTCCATTTGCAGTACCTGAACTGCTCGCACCCAAGGCACAGGGAAGTTCTGTCTTGTTAAGAATCCCTAGGGCCAGGGATTTAGCTCAGTGGTGCTGCTCCTGCCTCACAAGTGCAAGGTCCTGAGTTTGATTCCCTTGTACCACCACCATCAAAAAAAAAAAGAGGGGGGTAGGCAGAGATTTAGCTCAGTGGTGTCGCTGCCTGCCTGGCAGGTGCAAGGTCCCAAGTTCGTACCCCGGTACCAAAAACAAAAAAAATCTCTGGGCTCCACCTCAGAACCTAGGTCCTAAGGGAAACTGAAGGAAGTTTTTCCACCTCTGCCTATTGTAATTTTGGAATAAATAACCAAAAGGAAGCCATGGACTCTTGCCACTCCCTACCTCCACCCTCTTTCCAAACATCTTCCTTGCCACTTTCTATCTATTTCTATGTGTGTTTTTTGCTTTCTTTTTTAATTTTTTCTTTGCAGTGCTTGTGGTTGAACTCCATGGTCTGTGCACTGAGCTATGTCTCCAGTTTTTCTTTCTTGGAGACAGAATCTTGCTTAGTCACTAAATTGCTCAAGCTGGGCTTGAACTTGTGATCCCCCTGACTCAGCCTCCCAAAGTACTGAATTATAGGCTTGCACCATTATGCCCAGCTTCAATAAGTATGTTTTACATACCAATTTTGGAGCTGGATGTGGTGGCTCCCAAGAGGATTACAAATTTAAGGCCAGCCTAAGCAACTTAATAAGACCCTTGCTCAAAATAAAACAAGGTCTGGAGGTACATCGCAAACATATACTAATGCTTTTTTGGTAAACATATACTAATTTTTTTTTTTTTTTTTTTTTTTTTTGGTACTGGGGATCAAACTTGGGTCCTTGCACTTGCAAAGCAGGCGGTGGAACCACTGAGCCAAATCCCTGGCCCACATATACTAATTTTTAAAAGAAAGAAAAAAGCTGGGCATGGTGGCACATGCCTATAATCCTAGCATTTTGGAAGCTGAGGCAGGAGAATTGCTGTGAGTTCAAGGTCAGCCTGGGCTACATAGTGAATTCAAGGCCAGCCTGAACTACATAATAAGAACCTGTCTCTAAATAAATAAATAATAAAAGAAAAAGTATTTTGGAGATGTTACTCAGTGTTAGAACATTTGAATAGCATGTATGAGGCCCTAGATTCAGTGTCCAGTACTACAAAAATAAGTATGTCAATAACAATTTTGGAGTGGACTAAACAGAATTCTTTGGGGTATGTAAAGAGTTTAATACTGAACATGACCATCTTATTTTAGAGTTTTAGATCCATTACTTAATGAAAACTTGATTTTCCCATGTTTTTATCACTAGCAGGGCTGTGGGAAGTGTTTTTGGGGAGATGGAGGTGGCAGCTGATGCCTGACCTGCCTTGGCAGTCAGACCCTCACTGGACTGCCCCACACTGCTGCCCATCAGGGGTTCTGGTGGGAAGTCTTCGCTCTAGAAAGGCTACCATTCTCCCCAATTCCTGCTCAAATGTGATATTACATTGATGGTAGAAAGTCAGAGCCATGGATTCTTTTTGTCTAGTGATTGGTGGTTTCTTGTTTTTTGTTTTGAGACAGGACCTTGCTAAATTGCCCAAACTGGCCTCGAACTCATGATCCTCCTGCCTCAACCTCCCAAATAAGCTGGGATTACAGGTATGCTCCACCAAACCTTGCTCATGGAGAACTCTTATTATGATGCCAAGTAGATTCAAAAGAAAGGAGAGAGCTGGGCATGGTGGCACATACCTGTAATCCGAGCACTTGGGAGGCACAGGCATGAGGATCACTTCAAGTTGAGGCCAGCCTGAGTTATATAGTGAGTTCAAGGACAACCTGAACTACAGAGAGACCCTGTCTCAAAAAACAAAAGGGAAAAAGATGGAAATAAAGTGTTTGTAGATGGGGAGGGGAGGAGGGGGTGAAGGGAGGGCAGGGACAAGGGGAAAAAATTAGAACCAAGACTTGTCATGTAGACATACAAATTCCCAACAATGATTGTAAGTGTACTGTATCCCTAAAATGTACCAATAAACTCAATCAAAGCTGAAAAAAAAAACAAAAAAAAACAAAAGGAAAGGCCGGGGATTTAGCTCAGTGGTTCCAGCCCCTGCCTTGCAAGTGCAAGGACCTGAGTTCAATACTGAAAAAAAAAAAAAAAAAAAAAGAAAGAAAAAGAAAAAGAAAGGGAAGGAAGGAGAAAGGGAGAGAGGGAGAAAAGGAAGAAGAGAGGGGAAGGGAAGGGAAGGAAGGAAGGGTGGGGATGGAGCTCAGTGGTAGAGTGCTTGCCTAGCAAGAACAAGGCTTGGTGTTTGATCCCCAGCACCATACACACACACACACACACACACACACACACACACACACACACGAAGAAAATCTTATCTCCAGAGGTTACAATGACCAACCTTTTCCCCCTCCTCCCAGAGATACTCCCTTTAGAAATGAGACTGGCTGTTTCTATAATTGCTCTGTATTCAGCTCACTGAGCTGAATTTATAGTGTACCTACCTACCTCCATCACTGAATGACATTTATGTTGTTTTAAAGCCGCTTTCCTTCCAAGATCTTTGAGCCAAACCTGTCATGTGTAACTAACTTCTCTCTCCTTATGCCTTCCCTTCCTGTGATGTGTCTCTAGGTGCAGCTGCCTAATTTGACCCAGTTCCTCCATGGAGACTCTAAGATCTGCTGCTTGGTCATGTAGGGAGGAGATACATTGAGGGATGGACAGTGGGAAGCTTGGGAAGGGTGCTCTGTGTGGAGATTTGAGCAAAGAATGAAGTACCTCTGCTGATTTGCTCCTAGTTTCAGAAAACCAACAGCACTGACAGCAGGGCCTCAGTCCCTCTCACTTCCAGGATTACCAACTTGGCATTGAGACAAGCTGGAGTCAGCTAAGTACTGTTTTTGCCCAAGATGTGTCGCAGCACCTGTTAAGTGCAATTAAGAATGGCTGGGATATAGCTCAGTGGTACAGTGCTTACCTAGCATGTTAGCATGAGCAAAGCCATGGGTTCAATCCGAGTACTGGGGGTGGGGGGAAAGCAGGAGAGAGATTAATGCTATGAAGAAAATCCAATTCAGAAAATACTTTCAGACCCTTCTGAAAATTGTTTTGGAGTCATTTGGGCAGGAATCCAGGAATGAGATGCACTTCTTGAAACAGTTGCTATCTGAATGTTAGGCTTCAACTGCTGTGCCCACCTAGTGCTTATCTCACCCCTGGTCCACACAGGCACATGTGTATGGGAGCGTATATGTACACACATGTGCGCGCGCACGCGCACACACACACACACACACACACACACGCACGCACAGTTGCATTAGCATATTTCTCCTTGTAGAACCAGCTCAACTTGTTCTTCCTTTTTAAGTAACAAACCCTATTTCCACAGGGATCACACCAAAGGGAAAAATGCCTTAATTTGTGTTAGAACTAGCAGAAAGCAAGGCCATCCATGGAGGCCTCAAGTAGACTGGCTTTGTGGTTTGGGTGTTTTGTTTTGTTTTGGTACCAGAGATTGAACTGGGGACCTTGCACTTGCAAAGGAGGCAGCTAAATCCCTGGCCCCTAGATTGGCTTTTTAAAGGAAGCAATAAAGTCTAATTGAAAAGCAGAGAGTTAGGAGATCTGTGTTCTTGTACCTGTTCCAGTCATATCCTCAGCCCTGAGATAAATAACTTTAAAAAAACAGGGTTTCAATATGTAGTCCAGGCGGGCCTTGAACTCACAGTGATCCTCCTGACTCAGCCTCCTGAGTGCTGGGATTACAAGGGTGTGTAATCCTGGCTCTCACAAGGTCTTACGGAGATATTTTATTACAACAAATTACCATTTTTAGTTGTTCTCTGTTTTGTTGTTCTGGGAGTGGAACCCATAGCCTCCTGCATGTTAGGCAAATGCTCTACCACTAACCCACAACCTCAAGCCTTTTCCTTAGTTTTGATTGTTTAATACTTTACTGCCAATTACTGGCTTGCCTTCCCTCAAATTCCCTGACCTGCATTTTAAAAACTCTCTGCACCCATAAATATTCTTTGTTTTTTGTTTTTTGTTTTGGTACCAGGGATTGAACTCGGGGACCTATGCCCTTGCAAGGCAGGCAGCGGAACAACTGAGCTAAATCTCTGGCCCCCCATAAATATTATTTTTCAAATAAGCATAGGAAAGTTAACTAAGTAGAGGGTGTGGAAAGCCATTTAAAATTTTTTAAGGTAACCAAGGGTATAGCTCAATGGTAGAACCTGTGTGAGGCCCCAGGTTCAATACCCAGCACACATGTTGATTATATCTTCACTGGAGAACTTATCAATGAACCTGAAAGTGGACTTCTTACCTCATCTTCCACTTTACTTATTCACCACCTCCTGCTACATACCCTAAAAAAGAACCTTGAGGGGTGGGGATTTAGCTCAGTGGTGCCGCCACCTGCCTCACAAGCACAAGGTCCCAAGTTTAATCCCGGGCACCAAAAAAAAGAACCCTTGAATGACTGAATTTAGCTTCTTCTTCCTACCCTTCCTTGACTGAAGTCTGGCACCTTCTGTGAGTGGTCGCAGTTTTCCTCCTGAGGGCTGAGATAGACACCCCTCCTACAGTATCGGCTCAACTGCAGGCCAGAGATGCACTGAAAACCCAGACTCACCCTGGACTAAGGTAGTGTTTCGATCTCAAAGGCGGGGAGGCCTGAAGAAGTGGGTTGGAGGAAATCTTTGTTTGTTTGGTTGATTGGCTGATTGGTGTTTTAAGGCAAGGTCTCACTGTATAGTTCAGCCTGGGCTCGAACTCACTATGTAGCCCAGACTGGCCCAGAATTCAAGGTGATCTTCCTGCCTCAACCTCTTGTGTGCTGGGATTACAGCTGTGATATACCATGCCCAGCAGGAATTTTGTAAAATATGGTACATTGCCTTTCTCACCCAAGATAAAGTATGAAGTTTTCCTTCTTTCAGATATAAAATCATGCTGCCAGGTTTGGTGGTACACCCCTCTAATCCCAGCACTGAGGAGGCTGAGGCAGGAGGATCGCCATGAGTTAGTTGGAGGCCAGCTTGGGCTATGTAGTGAGTTCAAGGCCAGCCTGAACTACATACTGAGACCCTCTCTCAAAAAGACAAAACAAAACAAAAAACACATGCTTAAGTGATCCTTTAGCTTTCTTGCTTACTCCACAAGAAAAACCTTTCTGTCTTCTAAGAGCTGCTATTTTCTCTTTCAACAGATCTCTTTAAGATGGACATAGAAGAATGCAATGGCCGCCCCTACTTGTCTGGTATGCCTTCTGTGGGCTCTGTTTGGATGGGCTGGGAGTTGAGGCTCTGTAGAGCAGAGACCCTTCAGCCCAAGCATATGTTGGTCACAAAGCTGACACTCATACTTGGTCATACTTGATAGCCATGATTTTGCATTCCCTAAAATAGTGGTTCTCTTCCCCAGTCTTCTTTTTTGGTTTTTTGTTTTTGTTTTTTGAAACAGGGTCTCACTATATAGTTGAGACTGACCAGGAACTATGTAGCCCACGATGGTCTCAAACTCACAGTGATCCTCCTGCCTCAGCTTTCTGAGTGCTGGGATTACAGGCGTGCACCACCACGCCTGGTTCCCCAGACTTCTTGAGGGGTAAGGGAGAGGGAAGGGAATAGGAGGGGAACAAAAGTGGTTGCTATTAGAATGATTTGTAGCAAATAGATGGAAAAAAGAGTGGTGCTTTGAGGTTACCAGCCCAACATGGAATTCTGCCCCAAGTAGACAGGAGCAGCATTTCAAACCTCAGAGGCCTATGGGGCCAGAGGTTATGTGAATGAACAAAGCAGACCATGACAGTAAGTAAGAGAGCAGTAAGGGTTGTCATGAACTGGAGAACATCCTTCCCACCTCAGGGGACAGCAACTCTTCAGTGTCATCACCACATAAGAATGCATCTGCCGACTTTTTTCTTGGAGACAAGAGTTTTGCTATGTAATTCAGGCTGGCCTTAAGCTCACTGTGTTGCCAAGGGTTTTGCTCAGTGGTGCTGCCATCTGCCTCAAAAGTGCAAGGTTCTCAGTTTGATTCCCAGTACCAAAACAAACAAAACAAAACAAAAAAACAGCAACAACTCACTATGTAGCTCATGCTGGCCTCAAACTTGTGGTGTTCCTCCTGCCTCAGTGTGGGATTACAGGCATGCAGCACCACAAGTGCTAGGACTACAGGCATGTGCCACCATGATCAACAGTCCAATTTTTCAAGAGAATCAGAAATCCAAAATTTGTTTTCCAACACCAGAAATTGGACTCAGGACCTTGCACTTGAATAAAGCAAACTTTATGAAATAATTCTACTTAAAAATGATGACTCAAGCCAGGGGTGGTGGCACACATCTGTAATCCCAGCACTTGGAAGGCTGAGGCAGGAGGATCACTGTGAGTTCAAGACCAGCCTGGCCTACATATTGAGTTCCAGGTCACAACTACATAGTGAGGCCCTGTCTCAAAAAAAAAACAAACAAACCAAAAAAAAGATGACTCACAAAACTTCTGTACATGGGAGGGGAGGGGACTTGAAGTGGGTAATGGGATAAAATAAAATAAATTTCATTTTTAAAAAATGATGACTCAATGCTGGGTGTGGTGGCACATACATGTAATACCAGCACTCAAGAGGCTGAGGCAGGAGGATTGCCCTGAGTTTGAGGGCAGCCTGGGCTACATAATGAGTTCAAGATTGGCTGGCCTGAAGGACATAGTGAGATCCTATCTCCAAAAAAACAAACAACAACAAACAAAAAATGATGACTCAGCCAGGCATGGTGGTGCATGCCTATAATCCCAGCACTCTGAGAGGCTGAGGCAGGATTGCAAGTGTGAGCCCAGCCTAGGCAATATAGTGACCTAGCAAATCACTCCAAAAAAGCCTGGGAGGCAGCTCTGTGCAAAGGCCCTGAATTCAGCCGCAGTAGCCCCCTAAAAAAGACTTGATACTGTACAATATTTTTTAATTATCCATGAAGTAAATGGAACTTATCTATAGGTTGAAATTAGCTAGTGGACCACCAGTACACACACTTTGAAGGTAAGAATAGAGAGCCCAATTCTCATTCCCTCCAGTACTTTCCCACAATCTCAGCATGTTGCACTTTTCACACCTGACAAATATTCTTGCTGAAGCAGAAGAGATCATTACCTATAGTATGAATGGCTTTTGGGTGTATCAAAGTAATCAGGTTTAACAAGTTTAACAAGGTAAAAAGAAATTAGGAACTTTATCCAGCTTCTTTTATGAGAGTACAGGAAAGAGCTTAAGACAGTTAATTTCTCAGATGGAAGGAATCATTTTTGGACCATTAGAATATCAGGGAAGTAAATGATTATTAAAGTAAGGGAAGCCAGAATTGGGTTTTCATGGGATGAGCATGCCCATCAGAAATACAAGCACCACTGTGGAAATGACCTTAGTTTATTTTTTTACTCTAAAATGGGATCAATGGAGGAATTATAGGCATATGCTAAAGGAGATAGCAAGATAGGATGACACACAGGAGATGTTGGCTTGACCTCCCTCCCTTTGTAGTCCTGGGGGTTGAATCCAGAGGTGCTCTACCATTGAGCTATATCCCAGCCCTTTTTGAATTATTTTTTTTATTTTTTACTTCAAAACATTAAGATGTCAAGAATGGTCTTAAACTTGCCATCTTCTTGCCTCATCCTCCTGAGTAGCTGGGATTGGTGTGCACCACCGTGTTCCATCCCTTTATCATTTAAGGACAGAAGGAATTGGAATAGGTAAAGACAGTACCTGCCACATGCTGGACAGAAGGATTAGATGGACTGATTTAATTGAAACAGACTTTATTAGAAGTCCTGGCCCTCCTTAGGAAACAGCCAGTCCTCCTACCTCCAATTCACTTAAAACTATTCACTAGCGAGTACCAAGTCCACTCAGAACCTGCTTTAGTGCTGCAGAGCAAACAGGTGGGTAAAAACCAGTCCACAAATGAGAAACTACAAAGGTGGCTGAAGAAATGTCCCATGGAGCTCTTTCTGGTAATGTCTCTGGAAAATGCTAGTACTCGGTGGCCAGCTTCTGAGGATATTTGTTTCACTGTGCTGTGAAACCAAGCTTTCCCTGTTTAGGTTGGCTTTTATTAGATACAAAGTGGCCTCTGCACAGATGGCTTTTAAGTAAAAGTAGAGACCCCAAATTCCTCATCCATGCTTTAATTCTAGATGTCAGCAGCAACTTTGGAGTAGAAAAGAGAAAGTTAAGGCAAGGCAACATGAACTATGAAGAGTGCCCCCTGCAGGACTGAGCTCCGCTTCGCTTCGACGTCCACTTGAGGGACCCCTGCTGGGCTGACAGGGGCAGGGGTGCCCGCATTGTACAACGCTACTACAGCACACTTGGCCCTTCTGTTTGTCGCCTTGCTCTTCCTCAGCCTGGGGGCCTCTCACCAGCCCCTTGATGAAGGAAGGGGTAGCTCTCCTGATGTTCAAAGAAATTTTACTGTCTCACAACCTGATATAAAAAGTCCATTTTTCCCTCTCCCTTTCTTTTCTAAAGGACCATTCCCATGGGGAAGAAGGAAAGAAAGAGTCCAGTAATCTACAGCATAGATCTCCATACCCCCTAAACCTGGCTTGTGCAGTTAACTGAGCAACTCTTCTCCTGGGCTTTCTGGGGCTGTGAAATGTGTGAGGGAACCTTGGGAGAAAAGGACCCAGGGGTAGGCAGCCCAAAGTTTCATGGCCCCTCCTACCCCCAAATTCCTGGAATCAGAAAATGTAGTCTTCCAAAGTAGGTCAGCTCAACAGTGAGCAGCTCCCTGGAAAGGAACAGAGCAGAGGCCCCGTCCTGATAGAAGGTGGATTCATCCAGGACTGCCTGGCTGCTGGAACCTCAGGGGCACAGGAGGGAAAAGATTCAGGGAAACCATACCAGTCTTTCTGCCTGGGATCTGAAAGGACTCTGGCCACAGAGCACCACTACCCTGAGACCAGACTGTGCTGAGCCCTCTGGCCTCAGGGCAAGGGGGCCATCTGTCCCCAGACCTAGAAAGCAAGCTCCCTCCTGAGGAGGGAAGAGGGACCGCTGGTGCCTGCTGGAGAGCCTTGAAGCTGCCCCTGTGTCCTGGGCCCCATGACCTCTGGGGCCTTGGCTTCCCCAGCTGGCAGAGGATTGGGCCTTCCCCAGGCCCCCTGCTCCTCCTCCCTTCTCTACTCCTCTCCCTCTCTCTCTCTCTCTCTCTCTCTCTCTCTCTCTCTCTCTCTCACTCACACACACACACACACACACACACACACACACACACACACTTGCTTCTCTGAAGCATTTGTTGTGCAGTTCCTCTTTGTCTGCTGGGCAGAAGGGCAACGGTATCAGCCTCCCCCTCCCTGTGTACCCCCTCCACTGTCTTGGAAGAGACGCTGTAGCCTGGCATCTCCACCCCACACATACATACATTTCTCCAGCCCCCTCCCCAAGCACATCCAAGCACCAAGCGTTCCCATCTCTCTCTCTCTCTCCCTCTCCCCCTCTCCCTCTCTCTTGCTCTCTCTCCCTCTCCCTCTCTCTCTGTCAGACACACACTCTCTCTCTTTCAACACACATACACCCTGGCTGAGCTGTTCTTGCTGGCTGCAGCCGTGGGCCCCTGCTCACCGTGCCGCTGCCGCTGCCTGCGAAATGACGGCGGTTCCCCTCACTTCCAGGAATCCACGCTTCCTGGAAGGTGAGTGGCTGGGCTCACCCCTGCCTGCCACCGAGACGCAGACATGCACACACCACCCGCACTCCCTCGCCGCTTCCAAGGCGGCGGCCGCGTTCGCACCCCAGGGTCTCACCGGCAAGGGAAGGATAATGTAAGTTCAGGCAGAAGGCGGCTAGCGGAGGGGGGAAGGGGGTTCGGGGCTAGGAGCCAATTCAGTAACAACTCCCAAGCCTGAGGAGAGGGAGAGGATGGGGGCTGCGTGTAATTGGGGAGCGGGCGTTCCTCCTTACACTTGCGGAGGATGGGAAAGGGTGTTTGGTGTTGCTAAGGAATGACGGTGACTTGGACAGTGGGAGCTTGTGGTGACATCTTGATTAGGCCTTGGGGACAGAGGTAGAGCTGGCTGGGGTGAAATACCGAAACAGGCCTGGGTGGGAAGGGGTAGTAAGAAATTGAGGTAAGGAAGAAGAGCCTTGCCAGCAGATGCCTCAGCCTGGAACTGAGATCTAAGGGGCCCGAGCCACCTCCCCACAATAGAGCTGGGGATGGGCGTCTTTCTTTGCTCTGTACACACTGTTCCTGCTAGCAGGATAGCATCCTGCTACCTGGAACCCATGGTCGTAGAGGGAGAGCAGTAAAGATGAGGTCTCTTGCAGACAAGTGTGGAGGCTCTGGAGCTCTCAGCTATTCCCTAAAGGCAGCCTCTGTGAGGGGATCAAGGAAGGGCAGCAAGAGCAGAGAGCTGGTCTCCTTGAACGTGAGAGCACTTTTACCTCAGCACTCCTTCCCAGCTCCTTCCCTCCTGCTCTTCTGCCCTTTACCCATCTCCCAATTCCTGGAATGTGAACCTTATGATTTGGCTTTGCCCTCTGGGGGCTCAGCTAATCTATGATGACTTTGACCAAGAAAATTTCCCCGAGACCTGAGAGCAGCCTAAATTCTTGGCTTTGACAGTGTAGGATTTCTTGTGAGTCCCAGGCATTTGAAATTCCCTCACTCGGGTTTCTGGGGCTGAGAGAGGAACTGCTGAATTTTCTAAATCTCACTCTAGTTCCCTTTTCCCTCTGGCTAGGACTCAAAATCCCTATAGCCCCACCAAGATTTTCTGGGCCTAAAAACATTCATTCTTATGCTTTAGTCCCATGAAAGTAGACTTGAGCCTATTTTCCCTCTTACCCTTATCCTAGGGAGGACAACAGTAGCAAAGAGCTTCTGGAATTACTGGTGTACCTCAAGGCTCCAGCTTTCTCACCTGTTTCAAGAGCCACAAAGGATGCGCCCCTCATTGTCCCAACCTGCCCCTTTGAGGGTATTTTTCCCCAGATACCAAGCCTCTAGCCCCACCAGACAGCCCCAGTCCTGGTAAACTGGCGCCAGCGATGGATTTCCAGCAAGCTCACTCAGTCATCCTTTTAGGGTCCAGGCCTCAGCACTGGGGCCCAAAGCCCTATCTTTCCCCATTGCTAACAAATGATTGGAAACAAGTCAGTACTAACATTTAAAAAGGAACAAGATCCCCTTTTCAGCCCTTTTAACCTTAGTAAATCCCACACTTAGTTGAAAGGACATATTTTAAAGTTGGGTCTGAGTCTGCAAGTCTTAACCACAATCCTGAGATACTCACTTCATGATATGTTTATAGTTCTGATGTCAGGCAACTTTTTTAGTGGGAACTCAGATTCAAGCCATAAAGCTTTTTCTATAGATTGTGAACGAATTTCCTCAGGCTTTGATGGGATAGAATGGGGGAAATGGGGCTTTTAGAAGAGGATATGAATGGGAAATGGTCCCAAAGTCCTGAGTGGTTGTTTTCTTCCCACTGACCAAAGCTGGAGAGGGATCCCTCAGGAGGGTGTGTTCCGGATTTCTTGCCTCAGGCCCAAGACTCCAACCATTTTATAATGGAATCTTTATTTTGTGAAAGTAAGTATGTGCATAGTTGGGCAATTGGGTAAAATAATAATAGGTGGACTTAGGGATGAATTTTAGGGTCTCTTGTCTCTTGTCTCTCCTCTCCTCCTCCTCCTTTTCTTCTTCCTCTTCTCTCTCTCTCTCTCTCTCTCTCTCTCTCTCTCTCTCTCGCTCTCTTTCTCTCTCTCTCATCTAGGCCTGTGTTCATACATCCATGCATGTTCATGTTAGCAGATACTTTAGAGGCTATGGGTATGTTTATCCCAGTAGATATATCCTCTCTATGTGTATCTACATATGTAATATGTGCCTGTATGTTTATCTACATGTGTTTTTATTTCATTCATGTATCTGTGCAGAAGATTGTGGGGAGGAGGGATTTTTTAAAAGACAATCATTTTCAGGTATGTTATCTGATTTTTTAAAAACATAATACTCAATATTTTTACAAAGCAATTTTTAACAAATTAAAATCAATATATTGAGCATAAACATTATTTAACTTTCAAGGAAATACCAAATGGTAAATATATGATTGGAATCAAATCATTAGAAAGATTTCCATAATAGTCAAATTTTTCCTGAATTTAGAAAGTCCAGCTGGGTGTAATGGCACATACTGGCAACTGAGGCACAGAGTAAGTTCAAAGCCAGACTGGAATACATAATGAGAATTTGTCTAAAAAAAAAAGAAAAAACAAACAAACAGGGATTTAGCTCAGTGGTACCATGCCTACCTCGCAAGTGCAAGGTCCTGAGTTCAATCCCCAGTACCAGGAAAAAAAAAAAAAGAAAAGAAAAGAAAGTTCAATAGGCCCACCTCTCCTCCACTAAGAGCGATGTCTCTCAGTTGGTCATATAAGTGGTGACCACAGACATGGCCCACAGTGTCACCAGCTTCCAGCTCCACCACCTCCAGTTCTGTGACCTTAGACAAGTAACATAAACTTTCTTGTGTCTTATGTGAAAAGCTAATATTAGCACCTATGGGCCGGGGATTTAGCTCACTGGTTCCGCTGCCTGCCTGGCAAGCGTGAGGACCCGAGTTCAATCCCCGGTACCAAAAAATAAAAAAAAGAAAAAGAAAAGCACCTATGTCATAGGGTTGTTGTGAAGATCAAAGGAGATAACTGAAGTGCAGAGAATGATGCCTGGCACATAGTAAGCACCCGGTAAATATTAGCTGCTATCTCGATTATTACTAATATTGTAATTAGATTTAGGGACAATTTCAGCTGCACTTCCTACAGGTCCCAAAGCTGGTCTTGGGGCTCCGAGCAGAAGAGTAGGGAAGAATGTCTGTCTGAGCCACCCCTTCCTCAGGCCCCTATTCTCTCCATGCTGGCCCGCCCAGCCCCAGCCCTGCTTCCTGCGGATGTCAAACAGTGATGCTTTCCACGTCAGGCCTACATAAAGGTAGGGTAGACAAGGCCCAGCCACTGAGCTCACGGAAGTTGGCACCAGGCACTGGGCTGGTGGAGGCACAAGGTATGGTGCCTACTACCCAGCAACGCCCTGTACATGGCTATGGAATAAATGTGAAATTTAACTGATTTTTTTTTTTAAGATTAGTCAATGGACAGTAGATGGCTCCAGCCCCAGCATTACCTGCCCTCTTGTTCTCTCCTCCAAGGTAGCGGGGACTCATCTCTGGAGAAGGAGTTCCTCGGGGCCCCAGTGGGGCCCTCAGTGAGCACCCCCAACAGCCAGCACTCTTCTCCCAGCCGCTCACTCAGTGGTAAGTGCAACCCTGTACCCCCTCTTCCCCAGGCACTAGGCACCCCCATTTTTGTTTTTCCGTCAAGTCACTTTTGACTGGCAACCATTTCCCCATCATTACCTCCCTCTGGTTTCCTACTCAGTCTCTAAAATTGCAAAGAAGCTCACTGTCTAGGGCTTTTATGGTTTCTGTAAAGACAGTGGATAGTTAGGGCCAGGGATTTAGCTCAGTGGCACCACACCTGCCTTGTAAGCACAAGGTCCTGAGTTTGATCCCTGGTACTGGGGGGAAAAAATGAAAAAAAACAGTGGATAGTCACTACCAGACTAGGGTGGGGACTAAAAGGGGCATGGGTAGCATTAAGATAAAAGCTCCAAGGGCCGAGGATTTGGCTCGGTGGTTCTGCCTGCCTCATAAGCACAAGGACCCACGTTCAATTCCCGTAAAAAAAAAAAAAAAAAAGATAAAAGCACCAAAAAGAAATCCTAGCCGGGCATGATGGTGAATACCTGTAATCCCAGCACTCAGGAGGCTGAGACAGGAGGAGGATCACAGCCAGTTTGAGGCCAGCCTGGGTTGCACAGTGAGTTCAAGGCCAGCCTAAAATACATAGTGAGATCCTGTCTGAAAAAGAAAAAAGAAAGAAATTCTAGAACTAGAGAACCAAGTCATTAAAATAAATGGTTATTAGGTAGAGGAAATAGAAGTACCTCCCTGAATCCCCATACCCCATTTTCCTGCCCAGGCAGGGTCCGCCAGACTGCCCCTCCCCAGCTGGCCCTAGATCTGTGACATTCTCTAAATGGTTGGAATAGCCAGGAATGTAGGTCACAGCTACAGCCAAAGCCTTCTCCTCAATAGCTGCTCCCTCCTGTACCCCGCTTCATATTTATACAGTGAAGGAGAGGGGTCTTCTTATGACATGGAAGGATAATGTAAGACAATTCTGTCTTTCAGTTCTGATATCTCTTTAGCTTGTTGTCCCTCTTTAGTCTTCTGAGGACTGTTTTCCCGCCACTGTTGCTTGCTGGCTTCCTGCCCAGGGCCAAGGCAGACATCTTAATAACGGGAGATTAGAGAAGAGGCTCCCCTATACTGCCTCCTCTCCTCAGTGGCAGAAGAAGAAATCCCATGTACCCCAACTTTTTTTCTTGAAGCCTATTTGCCTGGTGGGTGGGAAAGAAGGGAAAGGTTTTCAGGTTCCAGGAAGACTCTGGCTTCATCCCTGAGGATACTATGGTGTTGGCCTCTTAAGGCCTGTCTGCCTCAGGGCCTGGAGACCCCATTTCATATTTCAGGAGTGTTGTTCTGCTCTGGACAGCACCCACCTTGTTTGTTCTAAACACCATCCCACCCTCCAGCCAACTCCATCAAGGTGGAGATGTACAGCGATGAGGAGTCGAGCAGACTGCTGGGCCCAGACGAGCGGCTGCTGGAAAAAGATGACAGCGTGATTGTGGAAGACTCGTTGTCAGAGCCTCTGGGCTACTGTGATGGGAGTGGGCCAGAGCCTCACTCGCCTGGTGGCATCCGGCTGCCCAATGGCAAGCTCAAGTGTGATGTCTGCGGCATGGTCTGTATTGGCCCCAACGTGCTTATGGTGCACAAACGTAGCCACACGGGTGAGTGAGCCAGAGGGATCCAGGGAAGAGCTCCCAGGGTGGTGGTGAGAGGCAGAGCAGTGCTGGGACAATGGCGGCAAGAAGAGCAGGAGGCCACACCACAGTAGGGTGGCCTCAGAAAAGGAAGAGTCTCCAGCACATTTTCTAGCTGACAAAAAAAAAAAGGAGAGCTAGACATGGTAGCACACATGTGCCTATAATCCCAGTACTTAGGAGACTGAGGCAGGAGGATCGCCATGAGCTCCAGGCCAGCCCAGGCTATACTGTGAGTTCAAGGCTAGCTTGAATTACAGGTGAGACCCTGTCTCAAAAAAACAACAATAAATAAATAAAAGAAAAGAAAGAGGAATGGGATTTGGATTCCCCTCAAGATCTGTACCTCTGAGACACTTTCCTTAGCTGTTGTTATAAAGAAAAGCTGATATTTTTCTTAAGATATGAGAGAGAAGCCTGGTGTGGTGCACACTTATAATCCCAGGACTCTAGGAGACTGAGGTAGGAGTGTCACAAGTTCAAGCCCAATTTGGTTAATTTAGCAAGACCCTCTCTCAAAATAAAAAACACAGAAGGAGGACTGGGGATTTAGCTCAGTGGTTCTGCCACCTGCCTCAAAAGAATAAGGACCCAAGTTTGATTCCCAGTACCAAAAAAAAAAAACACACACACACAGAAGGGCTTAGGATACAGCTCATTGTGAAGATTCTGGGTTCAATCCCAAATACCAAGAAACAAACAAAAAAGAAAAAGAGAGGGATGTGTTACAGATCAAGAGGGATCTTCAGAGCTGGGTGTGTATTTCAGTTAGAGCATGTTAACAAAAAAGAAAAAGAGAGGGATGTGTTACAGATCAAGAGGGATCTTCAGAGCTGGGTGTGTATTTCAGTGATAGAGCATGTATTCAGCATGAGAGAGGCCTTGGGTTTGAGTCCCACCACCACCACCACCACACACACACACACACACACACACACACACACACACACACACACGCCCGGCACGATGGCTCATTCCTTTAATCCCATATAATCCCTAAGGGAAACTGAAGAAGAAGGATCACAGGTTTAAATCCTGGACAATTTAGCAAGATTCTGTCTCAAATATAAGGGGCTGAGGTAGTAGCTCAGTGGTAGACTCCTGGTTTCAAGCCCTGGTACTCAAAAAAAGAAGAAGAGCTGGGCATGGTGGTACATGCCTATAATTCCAGCTCTCGGGAGGCTGAGGCAGGAGGATCACTGTGAGTTTGAGACCAGCCTGGGCTACATAGTGAGTTCCAGGTCAGTCTCAACTACATAGTGAGACCCTGTCTCAAAAAACAAAACAAAAAAGAAGAGGAAGAAGAATCCTATAGTCTAACAGGGTAGACTGGGTATTGTTTGGTTCTCTCATAGCAGAGAGAGACAGACAGAGATATCCTTTCCTTAGCCTACTCAGACTTTGAACTCTTAAGGCAGAGTGGACCCTATTACACTCAGTTTTTTGTTTATTTGTTTTTTGGTACTGGGGATCAAACCGGGGACCTTGCGCCTGCAAGGCAGGCAGTGGAACCACTGAGCTAAATCGCCGGCCCAGCACTCAGTTTTGGGTAACTGTCTTTAGGCCCAGTATTCTGGGGCTGGTACCCCTATCCTGCCATAACACTCTGATCCACATCTTCCCAGGGTAAGACTGTCCCCTAGTGCTCTTTATAAAGCAGCATTAGTGTTTGCGGCACGTTCCTGCTCCTCAGCCATGTGTTCAGGTGGGAGGCTAGGTTCAGTCTTCGGCGTTCCTCACACCCAGCCCTCTGGGATCTGTTCTCTCACTTGCAGGTGAGAGGCCCTTCCACTGCAACCAGTGTGGTGCCTCCTTCACCCAGAAGGGCAACCTGCTGCGCCACATCAAGCTGCACTCTGGGGAGAAGCCCTTCAAATGTCCCTTCTGCAACTACGCATGCCGCCGGCGTGACGCACTCACAGGCCACCTCCGCACACACTCAGGTCAGTGAGCATCCAGCCGGAGAGAAGACAGTGGGCCCAGAACACCCAGTAAATAGAGCTCATCAGTGTCTGTCACCCAGGAGAGGAGGACTCATGGAGCAGATCTATCCCTGCCCCTCGGACCCTCCTCTGGGAGGTGGGGCCCTCTTTCTGATTTATTTAGGTACTGGGGATTGAACCCAGACCCCTCACACTGAGCTATATTTCTGTCCCCTTTTTAATTAATTAATTTATTTATTTTGAGATGGGGCCTTGCTAAGTTATGAGTGCCTAAACTGGGCTCAGACTTAGCTCACCTTCTCAGAGTGCTGGGGTTACAGGTGTGTAGGTGTGTGTTACCATGCCCAGCTCTGGGGACTCTTTGTGGGGCACTTTACTACCACACTGACATGGGGCGTACAGAACGCGAGCACTGCTCTTGGCCCCTCCCTGACTTTTGTTTTTTAAAGACTGTGATGATGCCACTGACATCTGTGCCCTGCCGTTCCCTTACTTCTGAGCCCCGCGGAAGGCCCCCTCACACTCATCTGTCCCAGGCCCATACTTGTTACTACCTTTACCCATACCTCATAATACCAGGGGTCTTTGACAAATACTAGCTATGCTCGCCTCTACTTTCTACTGGTTTCTGTAAATCGCCATGAGCCTCTGAAATGTGGGAAAAGGGAAAAGAGTATCCCATTTCTGTGCTTTGTCCCAAGAGGTTGTCACTTTGCTGGAGGCAAGGAAGGAGCAAATCCAGAGTACCTTGGATTCAGTGCTCAGAAGGGTGCTGGGGAACTGGATTAACACAAGTTTCTAGCTCAGTCAGGCTGTATGAATCAATATCTGTTGGAATCAGGTGGACAAATAGCACTTTTCAGGCATTTTACTAAGTTTTGGGCTTTTGACTTGGACTTGGGAAAAGGCCAAGAGCTGAGCTGGCAGGAAAAAGGGAGCTCAAGATTGAGAAAAGGCAGGAAGAGGGGAAGAGGGGAAAGAATTAGTAGGGTCTGTCCTCAGAAATTTTCCTGGCTGTTTTTCTTTTTCTAAATTCTCCTGGTCCAAGACTTAAAGGGGCAGAGCAATCACTTTACCACTCTACTTCTCTATCCATTTACCTTGTTCCAGGTTTTCCCACCTTGTAAACAAAACCTCGTTTTTCTATATATGTGGAGGAACAGTGAGAAGGATCATTGCTGACTCAAGCTTTATACTCTACAGAGCATTTTGTTTGTGTCTCCTCGAGTGATCCTCTTAAAAATTGCAAGATAGATGGTATTATCCCATTTTGTTGCAAAGGAAACCGAAGCTGTGGGGGAAAAAAATAAGTTGTAGGCCACATTGCTATTCTACAGCAGAGTTTGGCCCCCATGAAAATTCCATTTCTAGAAATCCATGTGTCTTGGGCTAGAGATTTAGCTTGGTGGCTTAGCCTGCCTCACACACTCACCAAAGAAAAAAAAGAAAAGAAAAGAAATCCACGTGTCTTTTTCTCAGAAAAGGGGTGGCTCCCTCTGTAGTTTGGAACAAGGATAGGTTGGCCCCTGGAGTTCTTACAAGGTCAGCTGTGTAGATTTTGGAGGTTTTTCTGTGGATTATTAAGTATATTATTAATCATTAAGCACATTATTATCAAAAGCAGCTACCAACATACTGTTGGTTCTTATCTCTATGAGCTGCTTCCTGTAAACCCACAGTGTAAGAAAAAAAGAGGGCTGGGGATTTAGCTCAATGGTTCTGCCACCTGCCTCCAAAGCACAGGTCCCAAGTTCCATCCCTGGTACCCTCCCCCAACCAAAAAAGAGCCTAGAGAATGATTCCTCTCCCAGGAGATAAACCATTTCCCCAAGGGTCTTGGGTCAATAGAGACTCTGTGTTCACTTCATCCCAAAACACTAGGGTTTGCAGAGCAAGAGCAAAATGCTCAGAGGTTGATTCAGTCAGAGCTCAGCCTTGGCTCGAGGAGGGGGAATGAATAACAATCACCAGCCTCCTAGAGATACCTTCCCTGTCTCCTTACTCAACAGAGGCAAGAAACATAAAATATACAATACCTCGTTCTTCACTTGTTTTCTCTCCTCTCACAAATATCACGTTATAAGAGTTGTTTTTAGAGCCAGGTGTGGTAGTACAGGCATATAATCTCATCTGAGGCAGAAAGATCATGAGTTCAAGGCCAGCCTGCTTTTTACTTCAGTAAAAACAAGATCTATGTAACCAATTTTTAAAAAAATAAATAACAAACCCAAACTTGGTGTTCTGTTCCTTTTACTCTTCTCCTTTATTTTCTTCTCTGTTGTTTTATTCTTTCTCTTTTCAAAATCTCTTCTCAGTAATGGTTTTCCTGGTACTGTCTTGATATTTCAGTGTAGAGAGACCAAAAATAATAAAACCAGGCAAGGTTTGGAGGTAAAAATACAAGTAAAGGTCAATGAAAACTACTCATCCCCACATGGGCAGATCTAAGGGCCCTCATTTCTATTACCCCAGCCCATCAATTTCCCCCAAACCAAAGCAGATAAGTTTAGCAGAAAAAAAAATCCCCTTGTCTGATAAACAGCACTTAAACCCGTCTGCCACATGGAAAGGTTAAACCACAGTCTAGGCCCAGGCTCTGAGGTCCTTGGGTGGGGCCTGCCTGCCTGCCAGGGACAGTCCCCTACAGCGTCCCTGCGTCTTCACTCCCTTTGAGCAGCAACTTGGTCATCTAGGACCCCACCCCCTGCACACTGCTGTGTGTCCTGGGATTCACTTGCTCCGTAGCTACACATCATCCCTCTTCCCCAAGTTTGGTTCACCTGTCCACTGTTGCAGGTAAAGTTCAAGAAGGAAAGAGATGCAGAATTCAACTTAGCAAAATCCTTTCCTCCCCATGCTAGTGTTCATTTGCTCCTGGATGAATGTGCAGAGCTGAGACACAGGGGGGGAGTAACTCTGATGCTGTCTCTCCTCCAGTCTCCTCTCCCACAGTGGGCAAGCCCTATAAGTGCAACTACTGTGGCCGGAGCTACAAACAGCAGAGTACCCTGGAGGAGCACAAGGAGCGATGCCACAACTACCTACAGAGTCTCAGCACTGAAGCCCAAGCGTTAGCTGGCCAACCAGGTGGGGCTGTGGGAAGTACTGGGGGCACACTGAGGGGAGGAGAGCCAGAGGAAGTTCAGGGCAAAGGGATTCCAGCACCTCCTCCCACAGAGGGATGCAGTATGGGGAACAGGATATAGTTACCCTTGGTAAATCTACCATTTACCTAAGTACCCCAGCTGATACAGCAGAGCCCTATGGTAGGTGTTGTAAGGAGATCCAGAGGTTGAGGGAAGTTGGGTCTGTATCCTCAGACTAATGGGAGAGAGAATACAAAGAATAAAACGCAAGCTTCAAATGTGTAATTGTCCCTAAATGGTGTAGAACGTTGCTGGGATATGCTTCTGCTAGGGCAGAGCCCAGTTTCCCAGGCATTAGGTGGATTCTTCCTTGGTTACTGACCTGCTAGATTTCTGCAAAGGCTGCCGGGCCAGTGCTGTTCCTATTCAGCTACTACTACCTATCCCCACCTCCCTCCCACTAGGTGATGAGATTCGTGACCTGGAGATGGTGCCAGACTCCATACTGCACTCAGCATCTGACCGGCCAACTTTCATTGATCGTCTGGCTAACAGCCTCACCAAACGCAAGCGTTCCACACCCCAGAAGTTTGTAGGTAAGAGTGAAATCAGCTTGAAGCCACAGCACAAATAAATCTGAGTTCTGGTTGCTAAAGCCAGAGATTTTGGTCGAGGGGTTTCATTTAGGGAAAGAAAGTAGCTTGGAGGTTTCTGGTGCTTAGAATCTACCCCCAGAACAGGAGGAAAGTGAGTGGAGGAGGTCATTGTTGGTCATTGCTGGACCCTTATGGTAGTTGTAAGAGGAAGTGGTCAGAGCTCAGGCTCTCCTCGTTTTTCAGAATAGCAAGGACTTCAGGCTATAGGCCCTTAGAGCCAGGGAGAAGTAAACATGGTTTCTCCACCTGGGGCTGGCATTAGCTAAGGACCTGGAGCTTCACAGAGTGTGGTGAAGGAGGCATTCAAGGAGTGAGCAGCCTGAGACCGAGTCCTCCAGGGTTACAACCTAGAGTCAGGGAGCAGTCACATAGAGGACCTAACCTCTAGGCAAACAAACGAGTTATAGTAAGTAATATTAGGAAAGGTGGGGGTGCCTGGCATGGTGGTGCACACCTGTAATCCCAGCACTCAGGAGGCTGAGGCAGGAGGATCACTGAGAGTTTGAGACCAGCCTGGACTACACAGTGAGTTCCAGAGCAGTCTGAACTACATAGTGAGACCCTGTCTCAAAAAACAAACAAAAAAAAAACCCGTAAGGTGGGGGGTCATCTCAGTGGGAGAGCATTGCTTAGCAAATGTGAGGCCTTGGATTCAATCCCCAGCACCAATTATAACACAGGGCCGGGGATTTAGCTCAGTGATTCCTCCGCCTGCCTTGCAAGCACAAGGACCCAAGTGCAATCTCGGGTACCAAAAATAAATGTAAAAAAAAATAATAATAATAACACAAAGCCAGGCATCATGGCACACACCTATAATCCCAGCATTGGGGAGGCTGAGGCAGGTGGATTGCTGTGAGTTTGAGGCCAACCTAAACTAAATGGTGAGTTTAAGTGCAGCTTTTAATACTAAGAATAATTTTTATTATTATTAGGTACAATGGCACATTCCTGTAACTCAGCAGCTTGGGAGGCTGAGACAGGAGGATGGCCAATTTGAGGCCAGCCTGGTGACTTCACAAGACCCTATCTCAAAATAATAACAATAATAATGAGAATAAGAATAATGATAAACCTAGTAGAATTTAGGAGAATTTAGAACTGTTCACACCCAGTCCTGCTGAGACCTTCTTCTCCACAGGTGAAAAGCAGATGCGCTTCAGCCTGTCTGACCTCCCCTACGATGTGAACTCAGGCAGCTATGAAAAGGATGTGGAGCTGGTGGCCCACCACGGCCTGGAGCCTGGCTTTGGAGGTTCTCTGGCCTTTGTAGGTGCAGAACATCTGCGTCCCCTCCGCCTTCCACCTACGAATTGCATCTCAGAACTCACGCCTGTCATCAGTTCTGTCTACACCCAGATGCAGCCCCTCCCTGGCCGACTGGAGCTTCCAGGGTCCCGAGAAACAGGTGAAGGGCCCGAGGACCTGGGGGATGGAGGTCCCCTCCTCTACCGAGCCCGAGGCTCCCTTACTGACCCGGGGGCATCCCCCAGCAATGGCTGCCAGGACTCCACAGACACAGACAGCAACCACGAAGATCGGGTTGGGGGGGTGGTGTCCCTCCCTCAGGGTCCCCCACCCCAGCCACCTCCCACCATCGTGGTGGGCCGGCACAGTCCTGCCTATGCCAAAGAGGACCCCAAGCCGCAGGAGGGCTTACTGCGGGGCACCCCAGGCCCCTCCAAGGAAGTGCTTCGAGTGGTGGGCGAGAGCGGCGAGCCCGTGAAAGCCTTCAAATGTGAACACTGCCGCATCCTCTTCCTGGACCATGTCATGTTCACCATCCACATGGGCTGCCATGGCTTCAGGGACCCTTTTGAGTGCAACATCTGTGGTTACCACAGCCAAGACCGGTACGAATTCTCTTCCCACATTGTCAGGGGCGAGCATAAGGTGGGCTAGCGACCTCTGCCCCTGCCCTTATCTGCCACTCTACTGCCCCCGCAAGTGTCTAGCTCTGTCCCCACCACTGGCCACATGACCTCACATGTAACCCTGACCCTCCTCACCTTTTCTTCTTTTCCCTGACTGATTTAGGCATTGTGATTTTTCTCTTGCCCCAGCACACTGAGTTATTTATTGGTTGTTTTTCTTTTGCCTTTTTTTACGCCTTTTTTTACTTATGGCCATTCTTGCCACTTCCCTCACACCCCTCAGCTTCCTTCTACATTAGGCCTAATTTTTTTTCTAGTTGATCCACCATCCTCTAACAGCCCCAGGGGTCAGAAGCTCCTCTTCAAAGGAAGAGACTTTGCTCTTCTTGCTTTAATCTTTGCCATTTACTTTACTGATTCTTCAGTTTTGATGCTGATACCTCCCAGTAGCCCCACCTCAGCTCTGTGGCATTATATCTCCTCTCTGGGACCCTTGAACCTGGTACTATCCATACCTCTCGTGCCCTCTCACTTTAGGCAGCTTGCACTATTCTTGAATGAAGAATTTCCTCATTTGGAAGTAGGAGGAGCTGAAGAAATTCTCCCTGGGCACTGTGGGAATGAAGGTCTTCTTGAGCTCCCCGAAGCCTCCCTTTGGGGTCTCCTTCCAGGATGTTATACAGCTCTCCCTGTCCCCACCACCCCTGTCACCACTCTAGCCTCTTCAGCTGGCCACTCAACTCAGAGGCAGCTTTCCTGTTCTTGGAGTGACCCCATTTTATATTCTCAGGGGCCAAGGCTAGGTCTGCCACCCTCTGTCTCTGACAGACTGGGAGCCTCAGGTGCCTAACTGGGAGTCAGGGCATGAGAAGGGGTGAATAAAATCTCTCTCCTCAATTTCCCAAACTTCTTCACTCTTATGACCTTCCCAGGCTCTCTGGGACTCCTCCGGTCCCTGTCCTGTGACAAACTGGTGGGCTGCTGCCTGAGCAGAGGACCTCTCAGCCCCTTACTCATGCTGCCTTCTCTCCCTCCCAGCAGGAGTCACCCTCTCATTCCTGGACTTCTGGGCCCTGTTTTTACCATCAGTGGCAGGAAGAAAAGGGTGTCTCTTTTCTCTCTTTCAGTATAACCAAAAATGATCCCAGGATGAGCAAGGCTCTGTGCCCCTCACCCATTCTGCCCCGCCTCCAAGTGGGCTCATCCTTCACTACCTTCCCACACTCAGCTCCCGGACACAGGGCAGGAGGGGCCTCTGCTCTGGCTGCTGCAGAGCCCCTGGCTCTCTGCTAACTGTGGATTCTATTTGGAAAACCCAGGACTCACAAGAGGGGGAGAAGTCGGCACAACTCCACTGCAAGTGGAAGTCTCTTTCTCCAGAGTTTCCTGCCCACGGCCACAGCCATCCCACTCTCTCTTCCTTGAGATTCAAACCAAAGGCTGTTTTTCTATGTTTAAAGAAAAAGTAAAAACCAAACACAACACCTCACAAGTTATAACTCTTGGTCCTTCTTCTCTTTTTCTCTTCCTTTCCCTTCCATCTCTTTCTACGTGTCCTTTCCTCATTGGCTCTTCTGCCTTTCCTACTTTTCTCACTCCCTGTCAGGTATATTGGGATTAAGGATTAGATCCCGGGATTGGGGCCCTTCGGGGTTCTGGGAAGAGTGTACCTTATCCCATCCGGGAAAGGACATCACTTTCTCCTCTTCCACCTTTCACTCCCCTATTATACAATTTCCCCAAGAGAACCAGATGGCAGGAAGAGACCGCCCAGGGTGATTGTTCCTCCTCGACAATGTAGCAATAAATAGATGCTGCCAAGGGCAGAGGACGGGGCAGTCAGCTCAGAGGAGAGTGGTCCCTCAGAGGGGAAGAGTTTTCTCAATAGCACCCTGGGCTACTCACTCCTGTCCAGGATGGCAGCAGAGCTGAGAGTAATATCTAGGCTTCTCCTGAACTATTCTGGTTATTGAGCCCCTTCCCTCAGACCTACCCCTTCCACTTCTGCGTCTGCTGTGTATTGATGATACCTCATAAGGACGAGTCCCCCTTGTCGGGTATCAGAGCCTTAGGGTGCCCCATCCCCTCTAGTCAGCCTTGGCACCGGTAACCTCCCGGAACATGAAGGACTGTGCTCTGAGGCAACTCCATGCCCGTGAGAGCAGAGACTGGAAGGGCAAGACCAGGTGCTAGGGAGGGAGAGAGGGGCATCCTGTCTCTCTCCAGACCACCACTGCACTTTAACCAGGGTCTTAGGTACAAAATCCTACTCTTCAGAGCCTTCCAGCTCTGGAACCTCAAACATCCTTCTGCTCTCTCCCAGCTCCTTTTGCATAAAAAAAAAAATTAAAGAAAAAAAAAACACAAACTGAAACCCACATGGAGAAAAGAGGTGTTTCCTTTTATACTGCTATTCAAAATCAACATCACAAAAATAAAAAAATAATTTCTAAAAAAAAACACTTTTCCAGACTTTTGTTTTTCTGTGTCAGTGTCCAAGCTGCGGGTGGGATTTTATAATACTTCTGGCAGCTTCTTTCCTTGTGTACATAATATATATATAGATATATTTTTAATCAGAAGTTATGAAGAACAAAAAGAAAAAAACACAGAAGCAAGTGCAATACCACCTCTCTTCCTCTCCCAGGGTTTCCTTTGTAGCCGCTTTGGTGTTTCCTTTGGCCTTGGCCCCTACACCTCCCCTCTTTCTCTGGTCCCCACCCCCCCTTTTTTTTAAAGAGTTTTTCTTCTGTCTTAAGGGGAGTTAAACTAGCTTTTGAGACTTATTGCAAAGCATTTTGTATATGTAATATATTGTAAGTAAATATTTGTGTAACGGAGATATACTACTGTAAGTTTTGTACTGTACTGGCTGAAGGTCTGTTATAAATAAACATGAGTAATTTAACACCCCTGGTTGTCTTTGCAGACTTCCTTTGCCTAGCTTTTCCACTGAGAGGGAGGGGGCGTCCTTGCAGCATATAGCACCAATTAATCAGTTTAGGAGGTAAGCAAGTATAAGATGGAGAGGAAACCAGACACATATGCTCAGGTTGTTGGTGCAAAAGAACAGAACATGGAGCCTAGAATGGGAAGTAGAGTCTTTCCTAGTAGGAGTGTCCAGAATGGGAGAGAAAGCTGACTTGCCTATCTATCCAAAGCAGAATTGTTATCAAACTTTTTTTCCCCCAGAATTTAAGAATTGAACTCAGGGCCTGGTTCATGCTGAGCAAATGTTCCACCACTCAGCCACACTCCAAGCCCAATAGTCATCAAACATTTGTTGAGAACCTACATGTGCAAAATGTACATCCTCAGGAAGATAGAAGTGATATAGAATCTAACACTCTGAGTATCTCAGAGTGCCAAGTACTGTACTAGGTCTTCATTTAATTGGAGAAACACTTATAAATGCATGATCATTGTTGGTAAAGAAAACCCCAAGAGATAAAATAACTTTTCCAAAACCTGTCAGTAAGCAGTGGAACCAGAAATTTTTTTTTGTTTTTTGTTTTTTGTTTTTTGTTTTTTGAGACTGGGTCTCACTATGTAGTTGACACTGAGCTGGAACTCACTATGTAGCCCAGGCTGGTCTCAAATTCACAGTGATCCTCCTGCCTCAGCCTCCCGAGTGCTGGCATGCGTCACCATGCCTGGTTCATGGAACCAGAATTTGAACCTAGGAGTGTATGACTCCAAAGCCTGCCTGTCCCTTTATGCCGAGGAAATCCAATGAAACCCCAAGCTATAGAAATTCAAACAGGGCCGGGGATTTAGCTCAGAAGTTCTGCTGCCTACCTCACAAGCAGAAGGACCAAGTTCTATCCCCAGTACCCTCCCCCAAAAAGAAAGAAATCCAAGTAGCCAGGCGTGATAGTGCACAACTATAATCTCAGCACTCTGGGTGGCTGAGGGGGGAATACTGAAAGTTGAGACCAACTTGGGCAATTTAGCAACTTAGTGAGACCCTGTCTCAAAAAATACAAAAAGGGCTGGGAATGTAGCTCAGCGTGGGTTCAATCCCTAGGACCTCAAAAATTAAAGAGAATAGAATGAACCAGAGGACTTATGTCATAAGGGTATTATTTCTTGAACCTTGTATTTTAGTTTGCATGTACATATATTTGCATTTGAGTATGTATTGGGTACCAACGTAAAGTATGCTTCTATGTGTCTGGATCAAAAACATTTAAAATCAGTGGCCCAGGCTATACCTGTATCCATTTGTTGGCGAGGAGCATAAGAATATCTCTTACTAGCTTTGGGTAAACTTGAACAAGTTATTTATCCACTCTACATCTCAGTTTTTCAACTTTTTTTCCCCCTCTGGTACTGAGAATTGAACCCTCGTCTTCACTCATGCTAAAGCAAGTGCTCTACCACCATGCTACATCCCCACCCACCCAACCCCTTTTTTTGAGACAGGGTCTTACTATGTGGTTCAGGCTGGTCTTGAACTCATTATGTAGTCCAGACTGGCCTGAACTCTTGTGATCCTCCTGCCTCAGCCCCCTAAGTGATGGGATTACAGGCATATGCCACCACACCCAACCCCCTTTTTATTTTCTCTTATTTACTTACCTATTTATTTATTTATTTGACACTGGGGATTGAATTAAGAGCCTATACATACCAGGCAAGCATTCACTACCAATGAACTATGCAGTCAGCCTTTTTTTTCTTTCTTCTTTTCTGAGACAGGATCTTGCTATGCAATTCAGGCTAGCCTTGACTTTGAAGGGATCCTCCCACCTCATCCTCTCAAGTGCTGGGATTACAGGCATGTGCCACCTTGCCTGGCATTTTCTTTCTTTTTTGAGACAGCAGTCTTGCTATGTAATATAGTCTAGCATTGAGCCACTATATAACCCAGATTGGCCTCAAATTTGCAATCCTCTTGCTGTGGTCCCAAGTACTGAGATTTCCCAGACTCTTAAAATTGTGCTTTTCAACTTATTTTTTATTTGTTGGTGCTAGGGAAGGACCCAGAGCCTTTGCAGTGAGCAACAGGACTAGCTCTTTGAGACAGGGTTTCACTAAGCCTCTAAATTGCCAAGGCTGAGTGGAAACTGCGATTCTCCTGCTTCAGTGTCTCACAGAGCTGGGATTATAGGCCTGGGCCAGCAGGGCGGGCCTAAATTTTATTTTATTTTATTTAATAAAAATAAAATTTATTTTTATTTATTTTGGTACTGGGGATCGAACTCAGGACCTTGTACTTGTGAGGCAGGCAGCAGAACCACTGAGCTAAATCCCCAGCCCTAAATTTTATTTTTAATACAGGGTATTTGCTTAATTGACCAGATTGGCCTTGAAATTGATGTTCTCCTAACTCAGGCAAGGGTAGCAGAGATTACAGGTGTCACACCTGTCATTTTTTTCAGTCTTTTTTGTTTTTGTTTTTGTTTTTTTGGTACTGGGGATCGAGCTAAATCCCCGGTCCTGGTTTTTTTGTTTTTTTTTTGAGACAGAGTCTTACTATGTAGTTCAAGTTGGCTTTGAATTCACAGCAATCCCCTTGCCTCAGCCTCCAGAGTACTGGGGTCACAGGAGTGTGCCACCACGACCTGCTTTTTCAATTTTTAAAGTGAGGATAATAATAGTGTCTATCTTATAGGCTTGTTGAGGGTTAAGTGAGTTAATATTTAGAGTGCACTACCACAGTGCCCAGAACTGGCACTGTGCTAACAGCAAAGCCAGGTTAAAAGGGTGGATAAGGGCCTAGGCTACAGAGCGAGACTCTGTCTCAAAAAACAAACAAAAAGCCCCCAAACCAAACAAAACAGAAACACGGATAAAAACAGTTGCAGCACCAGTGCACTTGTCCATGGCCTATCTTTATGGAAAGGAGATAGGCCATAATGGAAAGGAGAATTCACAAAATGTTTTGTTTCCTCTCAGGTCTTCCAGTTCATAATCCTAAACCTAGTCAACAGGATTGTCAGAAAAACAAAACAGGGACAGTGTAGCACCGCCCTTAAAGACTAGGGGCCAAGGGCCTCTAAACTTCGAACTACTACTCCCGCCATGCACCGCTCCGTTCGCCTCGCCTCTAATAGGATAAGCGTATTGTGGCTTAGCCTCGGGCTAAATCCACCTCCACCGACGCATAACCGGAAGTTATAACGCCTAGAATTACTTCCGGGCTGTGGTGGTGTGAAGTGTTTTAGGACTATATACTGTAGTTGTCTTCCGCCGGTAGGATAAATACTCCCACAGATATTTTGTGTCGCGGATAAATAAATTCTAGAAACCTCTTTACACCCTACATTTCAGCGTAAATGCTAAATAATCATTAAAATTTGAGGAAATTAATTTTTCGTGCTTAACTCTCGTCTTCTAAATCCTCTTCCGGTGTGAGCGTATGAATCTCTTGCTATATAAGAGGGCGCGGCCGGGTGCCGGATCCTCTTTCGGGTCCTCCCTTCCAAGATGGTGAGTTCTGACGCGTGGTGATCATGGTGATCCGGTTAAAGGCTAAAAAGAACATACGTTGGGATTGTGGGGATTTGGGAACTCGGCCATGGTTTATGAGAGGACTACGTGCGTTTATAACCTAAGAGAATCCAGCGCGTTTCGGAAGGTGCTACCAGTGGGGAGGGTAGCGGGAAAGGGGCTGCCGAAGCTAGGTAAGTTGCGCTTCTAACGGGATGTTTTGTCTTGATGCAGACGAAAAAAAGAAGGAACAACGGTCGTGCCAAAAAGGGCCGCGGCCATGTACAGCCTATTCGCTGCACCAACTGCGCCCGGTGCGTGCCCAAGGATAAGGCCATTAAGAAATTCGTCATTCGAAACATAGTAGAGGCCGCCGCCGTCAGGGACATTTCGGAAGCGAGTGTCTTCGACTGTAAGTGCTACTGGCGCGAGCTGTGCAAGGTTCTCCCCTACCTCACCCTTGTACGGGCTTTGTTTGCACTTTCCTAGAATATTAAGTGGTCGCTGATAAAAAGGAATAGTACGGTTTTTTTTCCTGTTATTTTGAGATTTGGGCCTAGTGAATGTTTATGATTAATAGCGTGCAAGTTTTAGTGGTGAGTTTGAGTCTTCATGACTACTTGTTTGGGGGATAGGATTTGAGAAACTTGGAGGCAGAAACGCGGCCCTGTATGTAACAACTTTTCAATTAGTGAAAGTCCACAAACGAGTGAGACCCTTGACTGTTTGAAGAATGAGATGGTGATGACACATTATTTTCTTGAAAAGAAATTACTTAAGAAACATGAAGGAACCCAGGAGTAGTAGCTGAGAATGCTGTTGAAGGGAACAGGATTCTTAGTTTATTACATGTAGGATGTGAATTTGGTACCTCTGAGGGTTATGCGCGACAGTTGCACATACTTGCTTATGTGTCAGAAACTGAACCGATTGCCGTGGGAATGAAAGTTTCATGGCTGTGTCTGATGAACAAAGTGAGTTTAGTTTTGCCTTGATAGCAAGAAGTAATGCAGAGTGGTTATATATAAAAAGGGTGGATAGAAAAATAACTAGTAATTATGTTCTATTTGTCAGCTTATGTGCTTCCCAAGCTCTATGTGAAGCTGCATTACTGCGTGAGTTGTGCCATTCACAGCAAGGTGGTCAGGAATCGATCTCGTGAAGCCCGGAAGGACCGAACACCTCCACCCCGATTTAGACCTGCTGTGAGTGCGGGGGGTTTCTTTGTTTTTTCATATTTGTTTGATTTTTTTGAGTCTGGCCTTAAACTCATTGCTATTGTCCTGCCTCAGCTTCCCAAGTGCTGGGGTTATAGGTATACACCGTCACACTTATTTCTGTATTTTAAAAGGATGTGGAAGCAAGAGAGGTGACAGTAAAAAGATAGGCAAGAGCCAGAGACATTTCAAATTAAGGTCTTTGGGAAGGCAGATGAGACCCACATCTAAGCACTTGCTTGGAGATACTTAGCAAGAATTATTAGAAGCCATGCCAGGTGTTCCAGGCCCATAACCCCAGCTACTGAGGAGCCTGAGGCAGGAGAAATAAAAGTTCAAGGCCAGCCTGTATAATTTCTTTTAAACCATCTCAAAAAAGGTCAAGGTATCCGGGATGTAGCTTAGTGGCATAGCACCTGCTTGACAAGTACAAGGCCCTGAGATTGATTCTCACAACCAGGGGGAAAAAAGGTCAAAGGAGCCAGGGGTTTAGCTCCAGGGTGCCACTGCCTGCCTCACAAGCATAAGGTGTCCTGAATTCAATCCCTGGCAACAACAACAACAAAAAAAGGCCAAGGATATAGCTCAACACTTAACTGGGTTCAGTTCAAGGGTTGGTGTGGGAGGGTGTTAAAAACACTTTTTAGGTGAGATGATATACTCTACTGATATCTACCAGCTTTCCAGGCATTCTTATGTCCTGAATATATTGTTAAGACTTTGGGATTGTGACCAGTGGTTCTGTTAAGGTTTTGTTTTGGGTGAGCTGTGATGCCTAGGCCAGTCTTGAACTCCTGGGCTCACATGATCCTCCACTTCAGCCTCCCGGGTAGCTGAACTTGTGGGTGCATGCATGCCTCCACATCTGGCTTAATACCCATGGTGGTAAGGGCTGGGGATTTAGCTCAGTGGTTATGCAGCCTGCCTCACAAGTACAAGGTTCTGAGTTGATCCCTGGTACCCGAAAAAAAAAAAAGGTCCATGGTGGTGTATGTTTGCCTGATGCTAGAGGATTAAACTCAGGGCCTTGCACTTGGGAGACAGGCACAGTGCCACTGAACTAATCCCCAGCCCTAGATCTGTGGTTTTTAATTCATTTCACTTCTTTTTCTTTCAGGGTGCCGCCCCACGACCCCCACCAAAGCCCATGTAAGGACCTGGGTTTTAATGGACCGAAGAAAACCCATCTCCAGGCAGAGGGAATGAACTAATAAAATAGATGTTATACTTTATACAGCATTTTGAGTGTTTCTGCCAGATGTGGTTTTGTGTATGTTCTATGCCTCTTTTTTTTTTTTTTTTTTTGGTACCAGGATCGAACCTAGACTATTAATCGTGTGAAAATGGTTCTGTTTATTCAAAAACCCTGTAGCTTCACTAGAGCTGTTGAAAACAACTTGGTGGCACAGGCCTGTAATCCCAGCACTTGAGGCCAGGAGTATCCAGCCCAGCCTGTAACTTGGTGAGGCCTGTCTTGAGAGTGCTGCAAGGCCCTGAGATCAAGTCTCGGTATCTCTTTTATTTAACCCTGGCTTTGGAGTTATACCAGTGTATGTCCTCAAAAAGTTGAAGCAAATTGAATTTTCAGAACACTGAACAAAGTAGTGTTGGCATGGGCGCGGCCTCACAAGAGTTCTTCTGTGCACTGTTATGACCCCCTTCGCGGGGTAAACAGTGCAGTGGAGTCCAAGGCCAAAGTGAACTAAACCTGATGGTCCAGATTTCACCTTGCAAAATAACATTCAAAGTAGAGCAGGGATCAGAGTTTAGGATTGTCTCTAGGGATCCTACTTTGCCGGGAGGGTGTAACATTGGTAAAAATTGCTTTATTGAAGTACAGGGGTACACATCTAATTCTAGGTTGACACAAAAGTTTGAGGCCAGAGTGAAACCCTGTCAAAAAGGAGCTATATACAATATGGCGAAAAAAATGAAATACACATGGCCATTAATTCCTCAAAGTTCCCTAATTTCAGACAGGCATGGCACCCCTGGGCTACATCCCCCACCCCTGCTGCAGGATTATCACTTTGTACCACCCTACCTAGCTCTCCTCATTTTTATTTTTGTCCCAGGAATAGAACTCAAGAGGGACCTTGCGCTTGCGAGGCAGGTGGTGGCACTGCTGAGCTAAATCCCTGGCCCTTCATTTTTAGTGCACTCTTAACTGTGGTCATTTGGTGTTTTTAAGACAGTGGGATCAAACCCAAGGCCTCACGCTTGCTAAATAAGCACCCTATCATTAGCTACAGGCTACCAAAATGTACATGCTTCCAAGAAAAAAGCTTGTAAACTTTAATACTAAATGTATTCAGATATCATGGGATTAGTACAAGTTACCTTTGACCCGTACAAGAGGTGCTCAAAGGGGTGGCCATGAGCTTCCAGACATTTACTAGAAGAACAAACTGCTGCTTGGGTTACCTTGGTCAAAGATTGCTGCACATGCATTTTTACTTAAAGGCTGGCAGTATAATGGGTTTTCTGCAATATACATCTAGGGTTCCCCTTTCAAGGGTAACACCATCTGCTGAAGAAACACTTTTTCTTTTCCTGAAGTGTGTATACATTTTGGGGCAGATTCTGTTTATCGCCAAAACTTACTGCTATAATGATTATACAAGTGCTCTGAATTAAGCTAGTGAAGTTTGTCAAAAAGAAACAAGCTGGCGCTGGACATGGTGACGCACGCCTGTAATCCCAGCACTCAGGAGGCCGAGGCAGGAGGATCACTGTGAGTTCAAGACCAGCCTGGACTACATAGTTCCAGGTCAGTCTCAACTACATAGACTGTCTCAAAAAAACCAAAAACTAAAAATAAAAATATAGGGGGCTGGGGATTTAGTTCAGTGGTTCTGCCACCTGCTTCACAAGCACAAGGACCCAAGTTCAATCCCCAGTACCAAAAACAATACTATAGGCCAGGCGTGGTAGCACATGCCTGTAATTCCAGCACTCAGGAGGTTGAGGCAGGAGGATTACCCTGGTACTGCTGATGTCAACGTCACACCATGATGGAAATATTGATAGAGAATCCTCAACAACATGGACCTTGCACTTGCCAGGCAGAGATGGTGCCACTGAGCTAAATCCCCCACCCCTTCTTAGTGGACTAGAACAAAAACTAAGAGATCATTTACAGCAGCAAAAAAACAAAATGTTTCTGCCCAGGGAACTACACAAAAAAATTATGGAGCTCACTGGTGAGCTGACAGGTGAACAGGAAGGCACAGCATCACAAAGACCTACTACAACAACAGGAAAACCAGAAAGACGTCAACTGCGCCCTTAAAAAAGCACAGGAAAACCGGAAAACAAAACATATGGACTAACAGTGTGAGTAATACTTGTGTGGAACATTCAGTTTTCATGAGGGAAGACTGCCTTGTGAGAGTCTGAGGCCAGCCTGGGCTACATAGTTCAGGGCCAGCCTGAACTACAAAGCAAGACCCTGTCTCAAACTACTTGTGTGGAACATTCAGTTTTCATGAGGGAAGACTGCCTTGTGAGAGTCTGAGGCCAGCCTGAACTACAAAGCAAGACCCTGTCTCAAACACACACACACACATACACACACACGAAAAACTATAACTTTTTTTTTACTATAACTTACCTAGGGAGTTTTTTGTTTGTTTTTTTTTTTTGGTATGAGGAATTGAATTTGGGTCCTTGTGCTTGCGAGGCAGGCAGCAGAACCACTGAGCTAAACCGCTGGCCCCCTAATGAGTTCTTAGCAGGTTTTGCTGCTATAGAAATTTCAAAAATCTTGAGTTTTAGAGCTTTTTAAAATTTTTCAATTGCAGATCATTGGTATACAAATAAGACAGGTCCAGATCACATGGCATCTTGTAGACTTGGCAAAGACTCTAGACTGAAAGTGTGATGGTAAGCAATGAATCCACTTCACACCCATTTGGAAAACTGTAGTTAAAGCCTGAGGGCTGGGGATTTAGCTTAGTGGCCCCACACCTGCCTTGTAAATACAAGGTCCTGAGTTCAATCCCCAGTACTGGGGCGGGGGCTGGGATTTAGCTCAGCAGTTCACCAGCTGCAGCTGCTGCCTGCCTTGCAAGCACAAGGACCCAAGTTCGATCCCCGGTACCAAAAAAAAAAAAAAAAAAAAGCCTGAGTTGGGCAGTATGGTCACTCCTATACTCTGAGCACTCTAGGAGGGTGAGGCGAGAGAATCATAAATTTTGAGTGCAGGGCTGGGGATTTGGCTCAGTGGTTCTGCTGCCTGCCTCGAAAGCGCAAGGACCTGAGTTTGATACCCGGTACCAAAAAAAAAGGCTTGAGTGCAGACTGCAGACTGAGTAACAATGACTCAGCAAGACCTTGTCTCAAAATTAAAAACTAAAACAAGGGTTGAGGACATAGCTCAGTGCAAAGCTCCTTAGTTTAATCCTCAGTGCCATCACCCCCTGCCAAAGTATCAGCAAGAGCCAGCACACTCCTCTAATCCCAGGACTCTGAAGGCTGAGGCAGGAGGATCACTGAGTTTGAGGCCAGCCTGGACTACATAGTGAGTTCAAGTCTAGCCTAACGTATATACTAAGACCCTGCTTCAAAAAAAAAGGAAGTGTAAAAAAAATAAAATAGTGATGGCAATCCACTGGAGCGGTGTGGCGATCTCCTTGCACAAAATCTCACTATGTACTCCAGATTGGCTTGGAACTCACTATGTAGCTCAGGCAGCCTAGAAATTGCAGCAGTCCTCTTACTTCAGCCTCCAGAATACTGGGATTACAGGCACCACTACACCCCACTAGAAGGTAATTTGTGTGTGTGTGTGTTTGTGTGGTACTGGGGATGGAACTCAGGACCTTGTACCTTCAAGGCAGGTGCAGTGCCAATGAGCTAAATCCCTGGTAATTTTTAAAGGCTGCATAGAGACGGGCTGGGGATTTAGCTCAGTGGCATAGCACCTGCCTGGAAAGCGCAAGGTCCTGAGTTTGATCCCTGGCTGAGGGAGAAAGGACTGCAAGTTTGAGCTCAGACTAGACAATTTAGTGACTTACTGAGACCCTGTCTTAAAATTTTAAAAGGCTAAGGGTTGGGGATTTAGCTCAGTGGTTCAACTGCCTGCCTTGCAGGTACAAGGACCCAAGTTTGATCCCCAATACCCCCCCCCAAAAAAATTTAAAGGCTAGATATGCAGCTCACTGAAAAGGCCCTGGCTTCAATATCCAATACTGAAAAACAAAAACAAAAGCAAGTTCTTTGAAAACTATATAGACTGTTTTGGTACTGCTTGGTACTAGAGCCTCACACATTCTAGGCAAGAACTCTATCAATGACCTACATCCTTGGTCCTTTTTATTTTTCATTTGGAGACAATCTTACTAAATTGCCCAGGCAGGCCTTGCCAGAGTGGTGGGATTACAGGCATGTACTACTGCAACCAGCTACTATATTGTTTTTAAATTTAACAAATAATGCTTGTGTATTACCGATCAATCATTTTGCAAATGTCTGCAGGAAACATTTCCTAAGTGTTGTTGTTGGTTTGAGACAAGCTCTCACTGTGTAGGCTGGCCTTGAGCTCATAGTGATTCTCCTGCCTCAGCCTCCCACATGCTGCGATCACAGGTGTGCACCATGTGGCCCTACACTCAAGGTCAGGCACAGTACCTAGTTGACCAGGCACACTGCCTGCAGCAGGTGCTCAACATTTATAGCTGAGCTGGGCCCGGGCCGCACACCTGTAATCCCAACACTTGGGAAACCACCTGATTTGCAATTCATCCTGACTGCAGGCTGAGTGACCTGCAGACTCCACAGGTTGTCAAAGTCCAAAAGCTTCTGCACTTTCTTAGTGTCAGGAGCTTCTACAATGATCTCCTGATCCAAGGCTGAGGCCTCAGGGACATCATTATCCCTCCTGCACTGGGCTCTGAGTTCGCTTTAGCAGTCTTGCTGCCGAGCTTCTCACTGGGAATGGTGGCGATCCCCTTGCACACAAGTGGTGTGGAAGTTGGTGCCCAGGTGTACGCAGCACTTACTGATGGCCTGGGCGGCCTCCCTCGCAGTCTGGTGGGGATGTGGCCTGCGTTGGCAGGTCCTGGGGAAAGGCATTATCAGCGTGTTGCATGGTACAATGAGCAGGCATGAGCGTGGTGGGAGCCTCACCCTCTGGGTGCCATCTTGCTGGGGTTGGGGCTCAGGAACCTGGAGGCACCAGTTGGCTTGGCCAGGACCATGTGGCGTGACCACTGTGTGCGACTTAATGTCTGCGTCTA